GCTTCCCTAATAAACCCCATAATCTGTGAGTTCTGTGTGGCCACTGCAGTGAATTATCGAACCCAGGAGAGAGGTAGTGGGTGCTTTGGGAGGAACGGTTGATGAAAGGGGTGGAGGGAGGCAGCATGTCTGGCCTTGCAGTAATAGGCCTTGGGCTACTGATGGTGATTCTGTCTTCCTCTTGTGGAGTTAGAGGAGTCAGAACATGTGGCCTCCTTGCCCTTTTAGCAAAAGGGATGTTAATGAAGTATGGCCAATGGCTAGAAGAGCCAGAGGGTGGCCTATGATGCAGTGAAATACTTAGTTCTTCTAACTATGGTCTTTGTTACTCCCACCAGATGACTGATTGAGACTATGCAAATGCGAGGTGCTTGTGGCCCACCAAGGGCACTGGATAGATTGCTAATAATGTAAATAAGATACATGGCACCCTTGTTCGGGTATGACTGTGCAAATAAGGTGTATGGAACCCTAATGTATGGATTTCTCAGTTTTGCCATACTACTAGACTTAAAATGAGCTATCCCTCAGGTAGAAAGTGAGGATCTCACCGCCATCAAGAGAGAAGAGCCAGGAATGGGGAACATCCTTTGACCAAAGATTTCTGCACTGCGATGAGAGAGACAGTGGCAGCAGAGGCTGTACAACCAATAGCTCAGCACAAGACAGAGCACAAGGCTTCCAGACCCATGGAGCGAGAACTGAGTGCCTTCAGGCAGGAGCCTTGCTGGCAGAGTGGGGTACTCTTTTGGCATCTATTCAGCAAAGCTAAAAGACCTTTCTAACACTAGCCCAAGCACTGCAGAGGCAAGGTCAGAGAGGTGTGCCTGAGGCAAGGCTGAGAAGAAGCTGTCCTGACTGAAGAACCCTATTCTGAGTTGTTTCTGATCCTGAATTGTAACCTCTTACTTCTCTAATAGGAGCTCTGGTAGCATAGTGCCTAAGGCACTTGACTGCTAACCAGAAGGGTGGTGGTTCAAACCCACCAGCCACTCCTCGGAAGGAAGATGGGGCAATCTACTTCCATAGTGATACTGCCTCGGAAACCCAAAGAGGGGTCGCTATGAGTCGGGTCCGACTTGACGGCAAACAACAACAACAAACTTCTCTAATAAACCCCATAATTTTGAGTATTGTCTGTGAGTTGTGTGTGGCCACAGCAATAAATTATCAGACCCAACAGAGGAGTAGAGAGTGTTATGGGAGGGACAGTTGGTGTCAGAATCGGTAAAAAGTTTGGACAGTGGTGGCATATCTGACCTCTGCCTCACAGGAATCAGCCCTGGGCTGATGCTGCTGATGGTGATTCTGTCTCCCCCTTGTGAAGTTAGAGGAGGTCAGAAGATGCCACCCCCACACCTTTTTTGCACTATCCTAATTATTATTGTTGGGTGCCAAGTTGGTTCCCACTGACAGTAACTCTATGAACAACAGAATGAAACACTGCCTGGTCCTGTGTCATCCTCACAATCTGTTACGTTTGAGTTCATTGTTGCAGCCTCTGCGTCAATCCATCTCCCTGAAGGTCTTCCTCTTTTTCACGGACCCTCCACGTTACCAAGCATGACATCCTTCTCCAGAGACTAGTCCCTCAAGATAATGTCAAAAACTTTGTGAGATGAAGTCTCACCATCCTCACTTCTATCCTAATTAGGTACTAGAATTCACACTACTAGCATCACTGTTTGGACATACCTGTTTCCTAATATTCTCACCAGCACTGATTTTGTGTAAATGGAAGAAAAATGTACTTTCATGGTTATTATCATTTATATTTCCCAGACTATTTATACAGTGGACTAATTATCAACTATGTAGTATTGGGGTAATCTACTTTCATAGTAATACTGCCTCGGAAACCCAAGAAGGGGTTACTATGAGTCAAGTCTGACTGGATGGCACATAACAACAACAACAACATGGAGTTTTGCTTCTACAAGTTGTCCATTTTCTATTAAGATTGCTTGATTTATATTTCTTATCCATGAATAGCTCTCTGTATAAAAGGGACATTAACACTTAGTTGGCTGTGTGTAACAAATAGTTACTCGAAGTCTATTGTTTGACTTTTGGCTTTGCTTATGGCATCTTCTACAATTTTTATATAGTTAGGTATGCATGTGGGCTTCCTTCTTGGCTTCCAAATTTCCTATCTTGCTTAAATGGTATCCTATGTCTTCTAATTTACAGAAATATTCTCCTACATATGCTTCTATTTTAGTGGGGGGGTTTAATTTAGATTTTTAAAATGGAGGGAGGGGGAAGAGTCAGGGTTATAACTTTAATTTTTCAAAAGTAGAACTTATTATATTAATACCATTAAGTAAACCAGTCCTTTTCCACTGAACTGGAATTGAAATGTTGTTAATGTACTGAGTTCCTATATACATGTGTGGCAAGCAAGTATGGAGGAGAATGGGAAGGAGAAATGCACCTTAGGAATGATGGTAAATTCTGACATTTCCAGAACTATTTTAAACTCTTCCAAAAATAAGGTTAAATTCTGTTACTTTTTAAAAGATTTGTTTTGTTTGTTTTCAAGAAAATAAGATATATGAAGAATAAAGAATATAAAAGCATCTTCTCCCCTCCAAAAAAAACTAGTGGTATAGCTTCCAGCATCATAACTACATGCAAGCTATCACAGTACCATAAATTGATAGACACGTGGGAGATAGGTAGATCTTGATATAGATGTGTGTGTATAGGGAGAGTACGTGTGTATCCTATTTGTTCTACTTCTCTGGAGAACCCTGACTGGTAACTATCCCAAAATTTTATAAACATAAATATTCTACTAATTGTTGTTGTTATGTGCTGTCAAGTCGGACCTGACTCAAAGAAACCCCTCCTTGGGTTTCCAAGGCGATATCACTACGGAAGTAGATTGCCCAACCTTCCTTCCAAGGAGTGGCTGGTGGGTTTGAACCGGCAGCCTCCTGGTTAGCAGTCAAATGCCTTAGGCACTATGCTATCAGAGCTCCCATTGTACTTATTAGAGATTTTAAATAAATAAATAAATAAATATTTTCTGTGTAGGTAAGAGACCAGCAAAGCATTTACTATAAACATAAATGAGTGACGTAAGATTTTTTCTTATTTTGACAGGAGGACATTACCACAGAAAAGAAAGACACAGGTACTTAGGGTCGCATCTCCTATGTCCAGTTACTTTGTGTGGGAGGAAGTAACCAAAGAGGGAAAGTTGAGAAGTGAAAGACAAGTTACCTGAACTTCAGCATAGCCCACAATCAACCTTATTTATGTTCAGTCATGCATGGATAAATAGCAGCTGTACCTAAGGGTTGAAGACTATGCTGGACTATAAGTTATCCTTGAGCTAGATGACCCACACTAACACCATCCCACATGACTTCTGAACTCTGAGGCAGACAGCTAGATTATAACACCATCTTTGTTCTTCAAGGCTTCATTAATTTATTACCATGCTACTCCCAGCAGCCAGTGTGGCTCTACGTCAGTGGATCTCAATCCTGGCTGAACACTAGACTCACCCCAATGCTAGGCCCACCCCAGAGCAATTGACACTGCTAGCGTTTTTTAAAGATCTCTGGGCAGTGGCAACCCAAGGAGCTCAGAATCACCACTACTGACAGGCAAGGAAACGAAAAGCTTACATAGCTCCTATGATTTCCTATTCTAGACTATAGATTGGAAGAATGGAGCAAATCATGTAAATGTAATCAATCACTCTCACACATATACACATACACAGAAGTGGAATTTGGTGAGACTGCCACTCAATATTGAGATCTTAAAAGTGAGAATTCCTCTGCCTAAAAGGAGAGAAGGAGGCAGGGAAAATTACCAATATTGTGAAAAGTATAACCAGAAGAAGTGGATTTCATAAGAAACACCAAAATCAGGATCATTTCATGACAGTCACAATGTGAGTACAGGTCCTAGAATTGTATGTGCTGGAAGGGAATATAGAGATACAATAAGAGCTTTTTCAAACAGATTTGTGGACTAGTGCAGGCCCTGGTGGAAGTGTTCACTAGACAAAAAGAAAAACTAACCACAGCAGAGTAAGTGGCTCATAAAGCTAATGGCATCCAGTGTTTGGGGCTGTTTTCCCTTCATGAATAATGGTGATAGTAAATGTTAGGCTAGTACATTAAAAAATAGTAATACATATCTTTACTTGACAAAATGAAGATCAAAACCTGTATTTGGTGGCCCCAGTTTTTTTTACCAATCTATAAAAATCTCAATGTCTAGGTATAACCGATCCAATAATTCAACTAATTTTTTTTCACAGCAACCCAGCACAAATGTTTCTATAAACTGCTAACTAGCTACAGAGTAAGGACTAAATAAAGAGTGCCACACTTGCCCCTTCCATCAGTACCTCAGCCACCACCTACTCTTCTATCCTAAATATTGCACTTTACACCCCTTTTGAAAAGTATGAATCAAACTTTAAGTGCATTAGGCAATTAAAGAAATTCTATGATAAATTTGTTTTTAATCTGAAGCTGCACCTATTATTATGGGTTCTAAAATGGGGATACACTCACACAGCACCATTTAGTATTCCTTCACATTTCTGATAGAAAATAGTGGATGACAGCTCTTTAAAAGGTAGGGGAGCCAGTCGAAGAGATGAGTTCCAGGTATTAGATTAAAAATCAGTATCTAATGTGAGCTTTCAAAACCGACATGAAGTGGATGGAGGTATAGATGAAAAACGGCTAACCATGAGTTGGGATAATTGCTGAAAATGGGAGTACCTAAGGGTACTCCATCTCTACTTCTGTAGGGTGTTTGAAATTTCTCATTCTAAAAGAGAAAGGAAGGAGGGAAGGTAAAGGGAGGAGAGGAGGGGAAGATGTCAGGGGTGAGTCCAACTCCGCCACAGGCCTTTCTGGAGAGGATGCAAGATAAAGCAGTGCGGTCAAATGTCAGGAGAAGCAAGCTCATACCAGTGGTTACCGCGACAACAGCCTGGCTCTACGCATCTCAGGAATCAAAGGCCAACGCCGGCGCGGTCATTGGGTATGTCGCGGGAAGCACAAAGTCCTTACCCCACCCCGAACGCCTGACCAACCGCTAGGACCGCTAAGAAGGAGGCCCCAACTGCGCCACCTCAACTCACCAGCCTCGCTGTAGGCCAGGCGCAGCACCCGGCCCAACGTGGAGAAGGCGCACCTCGGCTGGCACAGCTCCTGGCCTGCTACAGTGAATGCCTCCACCTTGCAGCCTGCAGCCACGAACAACGCATCGCGTCCCCCGCCGCAGAACCGCTCGGGCTCCAGCTTACAGGGCACGACCTGCTGCGACCCGAATGGGTGTAGATTGTACAGTTGCACCATCCTGGCGCCCGACTGCGTGTCCCCCAGCCCCAGCGGGAACCCCCCAGAGCCTGCGGCCACAGGGCAGGCTGGGCCACTTCCGCGAGCAAGTGGGCTGTGCCAAATCACGTGAGCGCCAGCCCCGCCCGCCTGCGGCTCTGCTTTTTAAAGATGCAGAGAGCTGCGCCCCACGCCCCGGCCCCGCCCAGCACGCGCCCCGCCTGGTTGTCTCTCCTGCTCTGCGGCGAGCAGAGCAGTTCTTTGTATTGTAAACCAAACCCACTGCCATCGAGTCAATTCCCACGCCATACAGTACTGGAAACCTTTTTTAAAAAATATTATGGTTATTACAAATTTTTCTTTTTAATAAAAGACCTTGAGGTGCTTCAGATTTCAGCCAAGATAAGTAACATGGAAGGGACTTTCTACCTGAAACAACCAAAATACCAGACACAATAGATAAAACTATTGCGCAAGACACTGGACATCAACAAGTGGCCTGTGTGTTGCCTACTGATCTTGGGATTGTGCCATTTTTACCTGCTAACCTTGGATTTGTCAGCCTCAGCAACTAGCAGCTGCATAAGTTAGCAGACACCTACAGCTCCAGCGGGCCTGGAACAAGAGGCAGAGTGGAAGCCAAAGGTTGAGGGTCTTCGCTCCTAGAGGCCGCACTCTCAGTTTGGACTTCTAGTCTCCCAAACTGTGAAAGAATAAAATTCTGTTAAAGCCATCCATTTGTGACACATAGCAGCTAGAGAACTAAGACACCGGGCATCCTATTTGCTTGTTTTCTCCTTTCTCTTCCACTAGAAAAGCAACAATTTAAGAGTATAGGGTTTGTCATCTTCACATCTATATCCCTGGTACCTGGAACATTGCCTGACGTATAGTAGGTACTCAAAAGCGAACTCACTGTGGTCAAGTAGGATGTGACACATACCAACCCCTCCTTGGTTTTCCCAGGTGGTATCACTACAGAAGTAGATTGTCCAATCTAAGTATTTGCTGAATGAATGAGCGTGGCCCCACTTGAATAGGACCCTTATAGTCATATAGTGATAGTTATTTAATCTCTCGCAGCCTCAGTTTCCTCATTTCTATCAGTCTTAAAGGGCTGTTGAGAGGATCAAATGAAATAATGCAGCATAGGGTTGGGCACATGGCAGGTAGCTCACACACTCTCACATTCTTTTATATTTTGATATATTAACTATTATTTCTACCATTTTTCTGTGACCCATGGCCCTTCCAGCAGCAGCCAGGAAATTATATACTCACTGCCTTCTGGGAAAGAATGATACTGCAGAACCAGAGAGTCTATTTTTCGGCTTTTAAGTTTTAAAAGCTTAGATGGATTCATTAAGACTAAAAGATTGGGAAAACAATGAGATCAGTCAGAGCCAGTGGACACCCAAACCATTGAGGAGACAAAGTGTGCTCAACTGAGGTGAGAGGAGGAGAGTCCAAGGGAAAAAAGGAGTTAACTGCAGGTTTGAGTAACTGAGAAGGGGCCTGAACGCTGCCCCAATCCAGAACACCTTATCATACAAAATAAGGCCCAAGGAAAGGAGAAAGGTAGAAATCCCAGATAGACTTAAAGAACCAAGAGTGAAGGACCAGAAAACAACAACAAAACAAGCAGCTGTTCTGCAGAGATCTCAAAGACCATGCAGGTAAAGAGCAATGCAGAGCCATAGAGTGGAAGTGTACCATGATCCCAAGGGATTAGGATTCCCATGCATCCAAGAAAAGTCTAGAGGTGGTAGGGGCCATACACAGCCCCTCTGGTTTCTAATAACCCTAGACTGGAGAGGAAAGAAAGAAAAAGGAGGAAAGTACTGGAAGGGCCTTAAAGTTATGATCAGGAGAATAGTGCAGTGGTCTGCAGAAAACTGATGGGATACAAATATCTCAGCAGATGCCAGCCTGGATTTCCTCCATGTCCCAAAAAAAACCTTGGCTCTCATAAACCCCCACCACACCCATAGAACAAAGGGCTTTGAACTGGTTAATTCTGGTTCAACCCCCTGCTGAGAATTTGCATTTCCACTCCAGATGTACTCAACCATATTCTACATTTTAATAAGATTCCTAGTTGATTCTTTTGTCTGGGGTGGATCTATAAGAATTACCTGGGGACTGTGTTAAAATGAAGATTCTGATTCTGTCTGCCCTAAGTGGGCCCTTCTGTTTCTCCACCCCAGAGCCTCTGAAACCCTGATTTGGACAGTAAAGCGACAAAGATCATAATCTCTGACTCAAGCACGCTTACTACTTGTAATAGCTGTGTCAGTTTGATGGCTTTCAAAATGGCATCATGCCATTGGTTCCACAATAAATCCAAACATGTTCTATGAGTGACCCTCCCTCTACCAAGATTGGAAGGGGCACTGAGTTTAGATTTCTGCTCTTCAGCACACAGGAAAGTGTGGGGTTGTTTGCTGCATCTGCAATATTGATTGGTGAATCTAACAAACCTGGGAACAGATAACAAAGCATCATTCAGAGATCACCTGGGTTCTAGACCAATGCCTCTCCACTGTTTTCACTCTGAGCTTGTCCCACATAATAGACAGTCCTTTGAATTCTCTGGTATAGCAGAGAGATTTTGTCCATCTTTGTCCTTTTTCTGGTAATATTTCCAGATCCACAGCCCTCCATGAGGTTGAAAGTGCAACACAGACTGGGAAAATCATAGCAGATGCTCACTTAGAAAACTCAGACTCTTTCAACTTGTTTAGCTTTGACATTTTATTTTAATAAATATTTACTGATTTAAAAATATATAAGCAAAAACATATTATTTGTGTTTTAAAAACATGAAAGTCCAGATGACTTTTGAGAATCTCCACCTAGGAAATGCTTGTCTAAAGGAAAATATATCCCAGTTCAGTATTTCTTACTGATATATCACATCACGTCTTTTTGCAGTTTTCTACTTATAGAGGGAAGACTCATTAGGGCAAAATTCAGGGTGGGCATGCCATTCTAGAAATTTGTAATAACAAATCCTATTGAAGTAGGCCTTGTGGACTACTACAACAACCAAAAATACAACTACATATTGGTGTCTAGAACTTG